CAAAGCTTGATCACCAGAACTCTGGACGAGGCGTCCATTCTAGCGAGCTCGTTGGAACTCGAAGGGAACGCGTCAAGAAGGCATTAGAAGAGAATCCGAAACTCAAGAACGCTGAGGTCCCTGCTGGTAAGAAATTCATATGAAAGGTTGGCTCAATGGACAATGTGAGTGACAACATGATAGTGACCGTGTTTACGAAGCCGTTTTCTGTACTTAAATTTTACATTGCTTCATCTTTTGTTTAGGTTTTAAGCTTTTTATTCACAGACTTCCAACAATATTTGCATCTTCGTTCTCTTAGCCTTTTTTTAACCCAAAAAGCTTGGGAATCCAATCATTGTTTTGAAATTAAACATTTCCTGATTTTATATTTTAGCCCTGTACCCTTAAGTCAACTTAACCTTCTCGTGCGAATGCGTGAGTTGTAGATCCCGAGGTTCAAGTTCCTCTCACTTGGCCAGTTGGAACGCGTGGTCTTCCCATGCCAAAGGCAGGTTGTCCTAAGAATACAAAGTTTGCTTGGGAAGTTGGAACCCCTTACCAAGATACTGAGCATGCTTTTGGCAAGAACCGCTAGTCAAGTCCGTATGATTTGGCAGGCTCATTGGCCAAAAGCAACATGGAGCAGAAGTTTTGCCTGAAGACAGAGGAAGGAGACAAAAAAAATGGTCTGCAGTGGCCAAGAGGTCAATATTGTATTCTGAAGAAAGGAGAATGTGCTGAGGGTAAGCACTGTTAACAAACTTACCCAAGATAAAATTGGATGAAAGATGGAACTGTACCCCCCTTGAACACTTGTTACTGTAAACGCCTTAGAAACCTCCACCCTCTCTCTTCCCCGCATTGATTTACAGAGCCTTCAGACGGGGGAGGGGGGGGAGGAGAGGGCACGCACTGATATGAGACAAAATGCGGGTCGTTACGTTTCTTCAGACTATTGCCTAGCCCCAATCAGTATGAATTTCTTCATCAAAAAGCGAAAAAGGTTCGTCGTAGTTCATGCAATCTTTTAAGTTGTAATAACAACTGCAAAAACAACGACAACAACAACAATAACATGCACTGCGTGCCAACATGTATTATAACACTCCAAAACTGGGTTTTCTCTTAATCACTCTTTAAACAGGTTTCCGGCAAGGACACATCAGATGGGATGACGAAAACAGTAACAACAAGGACAGACCCTCCGGTGCGCTTCCAGCCGGCATGTATGACAGGAACACCCACATCCAGCATTGCTGCGGCTCGGATGGTCACGCCACCAATGCCATAATTCTTCCTACGGACTCCCCCTTCGTGCTGCTGAAGTCCAACACGCATCAGTGTCAGCATGTCCGAGGAATGCGAGCACGAGGTGAATACTTCCAATGGGATTGT